CAAATGGCTGCAATATAACAAAGAGTGAAAAATTTAAGGGGGTCTGAATACTTTCCGTACCCACTGTATATGAAATGTTTTGTTGTAAACACATTTGTCTTTGCATGCTCCTTGTAAAATCAATGTAAATTGATCATGTACATGTTCCAAAAATATCCCTAAGTGTGTCTCTCTTTTTAAGAAGTGACAGACCTAGTTTTAGAGAGACTCTTAAGACTCTCTAGTGTATCAACAAATACATCTGAATGTGGAAAAGGAGCTGCTCACTGATTATCTCTTGGTGAGAGGCTTGTGGAGATATTCACAGTCTCTTTTGATTCGGTTCTCCTTGCTTGTCACCACCTGCTCGATGGAAGTGCTTTCCATGCACTTCCATGCAAATACAGATGAATGCAGATATCTGGCTTTCTCCCAGTTGGTGGGGCGTTGGTGGTCAATGGTGAAAAAGAGGAAGTTGAATGCACATCTGATTGGACTGTGAAATTATCCCGGTGGGAGACAGTGGGGTCTTTCATTCTCAGTATATAGAATCCGAAAAGGAAGTTCAGACATGCACAGAGCCAGACATGAAGGCACTTCACACTTTCACTATTACATTTGGAATTTTGTGTCTTTGGATTTACTTAAATACTACTGTACTTTGCCCAACTCCCTATACTATATAAAATGGCTCATTCTCCATTAATTATTATTGTACTCTTTTATTTATTTTAATAATGTAATTTATGTAATTTAAATGTAATGTAATTAAAATATATTTTGGGTGCTTTTCTTAGCAAATATCGATTTATGCAACTAATTGCAATTAATTCTGTTAATTAATTGGCATATTTTGTATTTAATCAGGTTATTGTTAGGTCATGGTTTATCATTTTGATTGTTTATATACTGTATAGTACTGTGTAAAATATATAAATATGATTTCTTTTATGTTAATACTTTACAATAAGGTTAAATTCATTCAATTTTATTTATAATATATTTTATATGAAACACTTAAGGTTCAATAAGGTTTAATAGGTATCAATTAGGTATCATGAATGAACAATTATCGATAATTTTACTGCATTTTTTAAAATGATAAGTTTAATGAATTAACATTAGTCACTGTATAATGAACCAGCATGAATTAAGTAAGGAATAATTGACGACAGGCCGTTGAAAATAATGTACACCCGAATGCACACCCGAATAATTCAACGGACCGGAGTCAATTATTCAGCTTATACTACGGTTACCACACCTCAAATATTGTTCAGATGTTGTATTTAAAGACATTCGTCTGGTTTTTCTCCTCAAAAAGCTCTTGTGAGTAGGATTAATTTCTCATCTCATCTCATCTCATCTCATCTCATCTCATCTCATCTCATCTCATCTCATCTCATCTCATCTCATCTCATCTCATCTCATCTCATCTCATCTCATCTCATCTCATCTCATCTCATCTCATCTCATCTCATCTCATCTCATCTCATCTCATCTCATCTCATCTCATCTCATCTCATCTCATCTCATCTCATCTCATCTCATCTCATCTCATCTCATCTCATCTCATCTCATCTCATCTCATCTCATCTCATCTCATCTCATCTCATCTCATCTCATCTCATCTCATCTCATCTCATCTCATCTCATCTCAGGTGTTGCATCTCATCCAACACCTCCGTTGCTAATTCCAAAATGTCATTTAGTCCTAGCAACGGAGGCTTGAGCCGTTGATAGCAGACTAATAATGCAGTTAATAATGAAGTTATAAGACAGAGAGAGAGAGAGAGAGATTAAGCTTGTGTGAATGACCTGAGTCTGTGCGTCTCTCAACAGTGTTCGGCAGCAGTGCTTCTACCAATAGCGAAACTAGGTTAATCATCTTCAAGAACAGCGCCGTTATTAGTGAGAAATGGCATGTAGCTTTTAAGCTGCTAAACTATTTTACTGATAAAATCATCAGAGCAATGCTAACAACACGTTTCTGTGCGTGTGTATGTTTCTGTGTGTGCGAGTGTGTGTCTGTACTGTATGTGCGAGTGTGTGTCTGTACTGTATGTGTGTGTGTGTCTGTACTGTATGTGTGTGCGTCTGTATGGGGCCGAGAGTGGGAGAAATAGAGTACATAATAAAACGTAATTGTGCCACAAATTTGGAATAATTTGTTGTTTTTATCTTGTTGTTTACTATATTTATTTGCTTGGTCAGTGTCGTTGTGGGTTTTAGTTATTTTGCTGTAGTAAGCTGTAAGGACCTTTGAAATAACTGAAATCATTTGGCGAAGTGATCTGGACATGTAATGCAGTTCTAATTGCAGACCTTAGGACGTTCGTCAGCTAATCAGATTCAAACATTCAACAGCGCCGTAGTATAATATGAATTAATATATTATATAAAATTAATTGTATTGTTAGTTCATGATACCTAAATGATACCTGATGCAGAAACTAATACATTTTACTTTATTGTAAAATATTACAAAAAATAATAATATATAAATAATAAAAAAATATATAAATAAATAAACAAACATAAATATATAAATAAAATAATAAAATGACATTTATATTTATATAATACTGTATATACAGTATTATTTATAAATATAATTCATATTTTAATATTTTTCCATGGCCTAATAATCCATCTTCATTGACAAGCAGTCACTTACTATTTTGTAGTTCCTTTGGTTGTCTGTCTAAGTGGCCATGGCACGTTTAAACCCTGAAACAGGAGAAATCAATGTCATTAGACTGAGTCCAAGGCCCCTCGGCTCAACACAGGGAAGGAACGGGAGCTAAACGGCAGTCTAAACGGCACATCAGACAGGGAGATAAGGCAGATCAATTCAGGCTAATCTTAGGAGTGAATCCAATCCGTCCTAGTGCTAGCAAGAACCCCACATTCTGCCTCACTCTTCACTTTTAGTTGAACGGCTGCCACTTGCTTCCGATTCTGTTTCAGTAATGAAGTACCTCTGCTAAGCCAAAGACCTGCTCGCTGTGTGCACTCATGAAATGTATTCTCGGATTCCCTCCTTCCTCGTTCTAGGGCCCATAGGACTGTCCAGAGGCAGGTAGAGCAGCTGGGCGACTCCGGGCTGAGCCAAATGGGGGTGGGCTGGTGGCAGCGGGTTGGGTGAGGGAGGAGGCAATCGCCTGTGGGATCTTATTTTTTTGGCAGTGCTAGGAAAACTAACAGGGTGGCAGCAGATGTTTTAGTAAATGGTCATTCATCATTAACCTCCCTCCTGCCTGATACTCACAGAGAATTCAAGTCATTCTTATCAACCACTGCATGTTATCTGAACCACTTCTATACCTCTTCAGATAGAGTCCCGGAAGTATATAAATTGCGATGTAATCCTGAACTTGAGAAGATTCACTTTTTGTATTTTGGGGCCTCATTTGTATGCCCTGTGATGGTTAGAACTTTGTGGTGAATGGGAAGGTCCTCAGCTCAGCCTGTAATTGGTGGATTGGTCGGTTGCTATGGGGATGAAGGGGGGACTGAGACTTTCTCTGGCGCTCTGGTTAGAAACTATGGAACACTACTGAGCTTCACCATGAGTGCTTCACAAAGCAGCCGACGTTGTACAACACTGTTCCTCTCCTGATTTGTAAAATAACAAGATCACTTGTGTGGCGGACTCATTTATTTTATTCACAATCTAAGCACGGTATCTAAGCCATTCTTTTTTTTTTGTAGTACTGTTGAGGTCAGATGATGCAGAGATTGCAGTCTTTGTGTTCATGCCACATTTTTCGCCAACTTAACAATCAATGTCAGATGTGCACAGCTGCATGGATTTAACTAGTAATTCTGTCACACTAGTTTGGGGACCAA